CTTCAAATTCTGGTATTATGTATTCTCATATTAAATTCTTCAGTTATTTCAGTAACTGAATCAATTTTAACACCATCATTATTTAACAGCACTCCAGCGTTAACTGTTGACTATTTTTTTGCTTCTAGCATTAGCAAAAAATGATTTAGAATCATGTTTGATATTTCGTGCTAGCATATACTCAAAGTCAATCTTTGCATTCCTAATTAAACTTTTGTATTTTTATTTACACTAACCACTGCAGGATGAGACTTGTTTTGTGTTTAGAATATATTTTCCCTTTTTCTTTTGATTGCTTTGGCTACTTTACGAGTCATCTGTAAGGGTATTTTGTACTTAGAATTGGTGTTGATCAATCGCTTTGGAACATATAATAATTGTAGTCAAGCGATATTGATTTAAATGTTGAACAATAATCTAGGGCGCTTCCTTCAAGTTTTAAATTCCAATTCATTTTTTGCAACTACTGTCTAATGCAATCAAAATTTCCTTTATTATAGTCAAATATGGTTCTAAAATATTTTTTCGCTACTGATTTCATATGGATGTTGAAGGTTATCATGGAATGATCACTATCCCCCAATATATTGAGGTTGTGAACATTGCTAACCAAATCATGTTCATTGCTAAAAACCAAGTTTATAATAGCTTTATCTCCATTCGGTTCAGAAAAATGTTGAATTAAAAATGTATCTTTGACGCATTCACAGAATAGTTGAGTTTCCTGTAAAGCACCTGGTATGGCTAAACCCCTTCCAGTAAATATAACAATAATTAATACCACCCATCAACAATATTCTATGTACATTGACTTCGTGAAGAAGATCTCTCAGTAGACTATCCACTTTTTTACGAAATATATCAACATTGTTTGTTCTGTAGCAGACTCCATTTAGTAGATTGTCATTTTGTAAACCAGTTGCACTACACCTAATATGCTCAGGATAGTTTGACTTGGGCTGATATGCAACAGGTTGCCATACTGTTTTGATATATAGTAACACACTTCCCCCTCGCTTTTTGACTATTTTGACCTCACTTTATTCTAATATGTCTAAAAAGTATGTAATTAGCTAATTCAAGTTCAGAATCCAATACAATATCCGTAGTCCAACTCTCAGTTATCCCAATAATATCTGGTTGTAAAGTATTGATAGTTGCTTGGAGTTCACTCATTTTATTAATCAAACTTTTTGCATTTAAGTACAAATATAATAACGGTGATTCATCAATATAAACAGAGAACAGGGCTTCATTATTTTGGTCAATTTTATTTGTGCAAACTCTATCAATTATATATTTTCCCCAAGATTTCTTTAGCTTTATGATTTTCATTCGTTCTGGTTTGCCTCTTACCACATGTATCCATTCCTCCGAAATTTCTTTTGCTGTTTTTTTTCTTTGCCTCTGCAACAAGAATTATGAGATCTTTTCTTTCTTTTATTGTTAAATCATGAGCCATTTTGAATGACTTATCCTTAGTATCTGCATTTTTAAATTTACTTAGATTCTCCATCACAAGGTTTTTTTGAAATTGATTTCAAAGTTTTACTAATAATGGTCTTGAACGAGCTAATGTATTCTCATCATTTTTTCCAAGCCGGATCACTTTAATTATATCTTCTTTAACAATATCCGAACTAATTACACTGAAAAGTTTAAGGTGAAATTTCTCATCTTCTTGATACCGTTCATCAGCTGAGGTGTTGTTGCTTTCTGGTACTCTAAATAGTATTCTGTTATTTTTACGAATTTCCTTGTTCTCTATATCATCAGCTTTCACTTGAGCTTGTCGTCGAACATTTTGCATCTTGTCAACATCTATTGCTCTGGTCTTTAGTTCATTATCTAGCTGTTGAGAAATGACTTCAGGCCATTTTTTTCTTGATACTTGACGCTTTTGTCTATTTGAACGTCTGTTTTTTGGATAATAGAGTTTAATTCTTTTTGAATGTTGTTTTTTTTTTTATCAAATTTTTCTAGTTGAATAGAAACTTCTAGACAACATTTATTGTCTGTCTCCTTTTTTTTTCTTCCATAGGTTTGATAAGTGATAGTTCAAAACCTTCAACTTTTTCTTGTAATCTCTTAAATTCCGTAGTTAGTTTACCTGCACCAGAGTTACAACCTTTACAGAACCAATGTGTCTGTTCATTTAAACTAATAACTTCATAGAACTCATTTGTAATCCCTACACACTTACAGTGATGCCACTTGTTGCAGATTTCACACTGCATAGCGTCTTTGCTGCCTATATTCTTGTCACAAACACCACACTCATTTTTCTCTCAAATTGTGACTTTGTCTTTATCTTTAACTTCACTTATTGAATCTTTAAGGACTCTTTTAGCAATCACCATTTAGGCCCTGTGAATCTGCATTTTTTTTTTTTCGAATCGAATATCGAATCAAAACTCTTGATTCGCAATTCGAATCAGGAATCGAATCAAAATTGTGAGGAAATCTAAACTTAAGCATTTTTTTTCATAAAATATATTTCAAAAAATAACTTCATTAAATACTAAGTCTTCACATTCTGTTTATTCTTTTATTTTCATATTTCACCTGTCAATTTTCTTGAAATGGCTTGAAGTTATTTAAAGACACTCAAAAACAAAGACATTTGCATTGTTTTCTCTTAAAATAACTTAAAGTTTAAAGTAAAAAAGAAATAAGACATCGTTACTTTATAGGATAAAAAAGAGTTAAAATAAAATGTCTTTTTGCGCCCAAATCATGGTTTCAGCATTATTATTAGATAGCAAGTGACGCGAATAGCTTATTACATTTCCACCAGTTGAGTTGACTCGTTAAGAAGAACAACTTGTTGCTTGTACAGCTAATACAGATCGAGCCGCGTACGAAAGAACAGGGAAATATTTTCATTTTTTTCCCAGTATTCAAGTAGGCAATTATCACTATTTATGATTTGTGAACAACTGTAGAATCCAATTTCCGTAACAACGCAATTTTTAATGTGTCTTTGCAAAATTTTGTTTATGTTTATAAAAAGTTTATGTTTTTCAAATTCTTTTTCCTTAACTTGTTTAAATACATCGTCAAGTAAATTTTTAGATAAGTTTTCAACTTTTTCTTCATTGATAGAATTTACGCAAGAAGTAGTTTCGCATGGTTTAAAATCAACGGAAATTTCAATTAGATGGTTTTTTATAATTGAAATCTCGTTTTTAGTGTGAATTACGGCTTTAAATCTAGAGTCTAAATATGTAATATTTAATTGTCTTACAATTAAAGTAATAAACGTGTGAAAAATCTCAATAATTATTTGACTTCTTTATCTAAACGAAGATAATTTATAAAAGCATGTATTTAAATTTTAATCTTTGAAATAAAATACAAAAATTAAAATCAACTAAGTATATTCTTTTTATAGCATCACGGTGGAGTTTTAAAAACCTTGGAATGAATAATTACGACAGTTTTATAATTTACAATTGAAATTTGAGTTTTTTTATTCTCTTGAGGGGTCATTTATAAAGTATAACACTAAGTTTTTCTTTTAAATAATAGTTAGAGATAACTGGTTCTCTTGCGCTGAAAAAAAAAGCTTTTTTCTTATAGCAACTGGTGGAACTGCTTAATAAAAAAAGACCTCAATTATTAGCAATCACTAATTTTGAAAGTATATTAAGAAACCTTGATTCGAAAATATGAAGATTTTCGAATCGAATTTCGAATCGCTCTTTGAATTCGATTCGAAACTTCGAAGCTTCGCAGGGCCCTTAAATATATATATATATATATATATATATATATATATATATATATATATATATATATATATATATATATATATATATATATATATATATATATATATATATATATATATATATATATATATATATATATATATATATATATATATATATATATATATATATATATATATATATATATATATATATATATATGTATATATATATATTTATATATATATATATAAATATATATAATATATATATATATATATATATATATATATATATATATATATATTACAACTAAATAATATCAAATATATCACTGTTAATTGCAAATTCAATAAAATATCTAAATAAAATTGTAAATAAAACTTGACTTATTATAAATAAATCAAGTTTTATTTACAATTTTATTTAGATATTATTGATAGTATTGAATTTTTAAAAGTTCATACTATTTAGTGTTACGTTTTTATGGTATATAAAAGAAACACTTAACAATATGAAATTTAATGTATTTAAGTCTATAAATAAATCTAAATGTTTAATTTAGACATTTTTATAAAATTTACCTCCACCACGTCATTGTCTAATATTTCTTCCTCATATTCAATATCAACTACATTAGAACATTCTGGTGTATCTCTATCTTCATAATTATTAAATTGGTTTTGTACTTGAGATTCAATATTTTTGTTGGAATAATTTTTTGAAGAGTGCTTTTCTTGAAACACATTGTATTTTTCATAATCATCTTTATGATGTCGAATTGTATGTTTGTACAAAGAGTTGTACTTGACAAAAGATATTGAACATCCATCAACAATACATTCACATTTAAAATCCAAACTCAAGCTATGAACTTGATAAACATGACTAAGTACTGTTTTCAAATTGAGAGAGACAAATACATCGCAGCAATTACACTTGAACATAACATAAAAGTTGCTCAATCAACCATTTTTTACCAAGTGCCAGAATTTTCCTTTTTTTTTAAAAAAAAATTATCTGTTCATCTATTTTCTTTGCAAGAAGTACTTCTATAGACAAAACCAAACAAGTTAACAATGAGCATGTATTTATGAAAGACGCGATATTTTTTTTTTAATTTTTTAAATTTTTATATCAACTTCCGTGTTGATATATTCCATTTTTATTTTACGATGTTTCAGTGTATATGATTAAGCAACAAGTGATTAAACGTTTAAAAAAAAAAAACAATTAAAAAACAATTAAAAAAAAAAATATCACGTTTTTCATAAATACGTGCTCGTTGTTAACTTGTTTGGTCTTGTTGTTAATTGTTAATAGGATGAAAACAATCTTTAATAAAGTTCGTGATGAATTTCCAGGATACATTAGTCATTTTAGAGGTAAGCGAATTGAGAAATGTAAGTAAACATTTTTTTCCGTTAAAAAAACTAGAACATGCTCATTGTTGTGATTTCTAGTGCAGGTTTCAAACCCTGCAATAATAACACCCAAAGGTATAAGTTTTTAAAATTTAGAAAACTAGGGAATACATAACCATACTAAAGCTCAATAAACAGAATTTCGTTGAAGGTTTAAGGATTTAGTTTTATGTTAAAATGTTCTTAATGATAAACTGGACACTGACCTATCATTTTTATTCTTAATTGTTACTTAGATAATCGTGGTCATAACTTTAAACTATAAAAGCTCCATTTTAATTTTAACAGCACCAAGTATTTCTTTTGTTGATTGTTAATTCGTGAAATAATTTACCGCAAAATCTGCACCATTTACCTCGATGTTTAAAAAACATCTCATACTATGTTCTACTTGATAGAATTTTATTTAAACTTATTATAACACTTAATACAATTGGAATATTACAGTAGAAAATTCTCTGATGTATACTTAAGTATTAGTGGCTTTTGGGTCATTCTGTTGTTTTAAAATAAACAAATAAATGTTGTTTTTTTATCATTATCAATAAACAAATAAATGTTGTTTTTTTATTATTATTTATTAGTTTTTTATCATTGATATTATTTTATTATTTTTTATAAACATTCATTTTATTTTAGATGCAGGAATTGTAGATGATCGTGATTTTTCAGAGATTATTTACAAAACCTTAAGTGAACTTTTTCCTTTAAAAACTCAAATACTTTTAAGGGCAAAGTTATGGAAGCTCATTCAAACCGAGTTAAAAAAGGTTATGCATGAGGTACATATACATGTGTTAATTAGCAACATGCAGTGTATTTTGCAAATTAAATTATTCATAAATGACATTTTCCCAATCTGTGTTTTGTATTAAGAAGCTTTAATAGATTGAATGTTGAATAAACAACTAATGAAAAAAAAACAAAAAAACATGAAGGATTTAAATATTTATTTTTTTTACTTTAGTTAAACATATCAGACGCTGATTTTCATGAGAATATAACATCTGATACTTCAGTAACAGTTTTTAAGATTTTTTTTAGAATTAATTTGCTTTGACACATTAATTTGAAATTTATATTTCTATAAGAATATTTTTATTTTTGTTCAGTTAATTGATGTTGTATTCAGGGATGCGGAGTCCCAAAAAGGACTCCGGATTTGAAAGTCACAAAAAAATTACTTCTTCATAGTTTTTGGTATCCAGGAGCTCTAAAAATATAAAAACGTTTATGGACTAATTATGGAAAAAAAATGAAGACTTTTAGGTAAGAGGAACAATCACTTTTTGAACCTGGTGTCCTTAGGTATAATGGCGGCAAGGACTCCGGGACTCCAGGACTCCGGGCTTAAAAACAATAAGTTCCAAGTCATTAAATCACATGAATTTTTTTCTTATAGCAGATCACAAGTCAACAAACATATTTAGAGTTTTTGGATACTACAGACCAAGAAAAAATAAAGATATAAAGCTTGAGTCCTTTTGTTACTCCACATCCCTGGTTGTATTGTCTAAAGAAGACATATATCAGAACAATAATCAGACTTGTTCTCAAAGTATTGATGCAGAAATGAGGTAAATGATATTTACCTAACATTGTATCCTAAGGGATGCGCTGTTATTGTTTTTACCCTTGAGAAACAGTAACTATGTATTTTTTAAATATCTGTTATTAATATATGTGATACTGCTATGCTTTAAAAATGCTTTTATTAGAACTAATGGCGTGACATCAAAAAGAATTATTAAAGATGTTGATGATGACAATAACAATGATATTGACAAGAATAATAATGCTATACTTGACAAGAATAAGGTTTAATATACTTTAAATTTATAAAAAATATTAATTTTTTAATTCATATTATTTCTCTCCTTAATTTAATTTTTTTTTCTTAAGCATTTTTCTTAAAAGTGATTTTTATTTTTTTTTGGAAGCATTGGTGTTTGGAAATATTTTTTAGTTAATATTTAACTTTGTCAATGTTTAATCGAAGTATTTAAGTGTCCAATTAAAATAACAGCTTGATTTATACTACTACAAATAAAATTTTACAGCTAGAGCAGTCACAATACATTGGATCATCATATCCAATATATCATGATCTGGAATTTGCAAATGCTGCTGCAAAAAACTTTATAAGTAGTGAGCTATATAACCGGATGGTCAGAGGAACAATAATGAATGCACATGCCTCATTGATGAATCAGTATCCAACAAGACAAGACCTTTTAGAAATTTCAAAGTCTTTAGTTATTAAATACCCTTGCCTGAATGACAAGACATCAAAACATTTAATCTTTTTTTATTTTTTTTTTAGTGAATTTGTTACAGAACATAATAGTTGATTCTATTTAATAATACTTTTAATTCAATTTAAAGAAGAGAAGAAATCAGTTTTGATCTTGCAAAATGTAAATCACGTTCACATACATTTTCATATTATTTATGCTACAAAAACAAAGACAACTGAGAGATATCTGAAACATTAAATGTAAAGGTTAATATTTTGTTTTTGCTTTTTAGATTACATTGTTCAACAAGTTAAGGAAAAGGTTTTATAACGAAAAACCAATACAAAATAAACGGATTAAAAGTTTGATAAAAACGACACTGGAAAATGGAGGTGAAACTGATGTTGATTTTTCATCAAGTATATTTTTATTTTTATTATTTATTTACATGTGTGGTTTTTGCACATGGTTTTCCATTATATCATTTTCTTAATGGAAATTAAGTTATGAAATTCGGAAGCAAATATTTACAACTAGATACTCTCCAAAGTTACACCCTCTAGTTTTACACCATAAAATATACAGATCAGGACTAGGTATTTTTTCCGCAATGTTATCAATAAGATGATAGCCATTGACTAAGGACCCTTAGGTGCTCCATTTTATTTAAACATTCCCAAATTTATAATTCCTATCTGAGAAATGCGCTACTTAAAATCTAAGTTTAATAATATTTAATTTTATAATTCAGGTCAGAGTGTGAGTGAATTAAGTTCATCACCACCTGTCAAAAGTAAGTTCATGTTACATACCTAAGATATAGAGTTCTTTTTATCCTATTAATAATACCTTACCTTATTTTTATAAAACCTATGATTTTTATTGATTGTAGAGCCATGTAATGAAACTCCTATTGATAAACCATCCACATTTTCATTGTTGTCAGGTAAGTTATTTCCCATATGTTTATGTTATATTTGTTTAGCATACATTGAAGTTTACTTTTTTATACACACTGTTAATTTGAACTCAGATCACAGTCGGATATGGATTTAATTCTTATAAATAACCCCAGGATAAAAAAACAGATGTTTTTTATTCTGGGGTGATTTTTTTTCTTTTTTCAATTCTTAGAAAATATATTATTTTTACATTATAGTATAAAAATAATATATTTTCTAAGAATTAAATTCATAAAATGATACTTCTATGCTTGCTATGAATGCAGATGTCTGGAATAAGATAATTTCAATATTGTTTAATTTTTTCCTGACTTGATTTTTACTAATTTTAAGGGCTGCAAATTTATTACAGTTTGTAATATAGTATTTTTATTATTTACAATTATTAAATTATTATTATATAATAGGTTTTATTGTTTATTTTTAATCTGTTACATTATTACTATAAAGTAGGTTTCTATTATTTATTTTAAGCCTGTTGCAGAAAAAACACTGATGAAATGGTTTATAACTTGATGCTGTACTTCAACAAGAATGGTGTAAAAAAAATATTGACATGAATATAGTTGCATCATGCCTGGATGCTACATTTACTCAAAGAAGGACTTGGGTAAACAAATGTCCAGTTGACAGAATTGCTAGAATTACAACAGTTTTTGAGAAATATCCATGTTTCTCTAACGTGACTGTCGTAAGTTTTTTTTTCATTTGTAATTTCATATTTTTATTGGGAAAAAATGCAATATTCTTTCAAAATTTAAAATCCTTTTTTAAGCGAATAGATATTTTTTTCAAACTGCCATGTCCTAATGGATTATTCTATAAGTTTTCTCTGCTTTTTAAAGTTGTTTGTATGCTTTTATTTCTTTTATTTAATTAATATTATTTAATTCAGATTGTTGGCGAAGTAGCTCGTTTATTAAAGTCTGCTGTCACAGTTAACTCAGCGAGAGTCTGCTTAGCTGAAGAAATTGACATGCTTTTATTTTACGGAATACACAAGTTAGTAGTTCCTCTACCACCACCACCCAAAGCAAATATAGGTGAGTGTGCATGCATACACAACCTTTTGAATTAGGAAAACTAAAGTGGGAATAAATTACCGACCTTAAACTGCTTTAAGTCAGCATCAGATTACAATTAGCAAACATAAAACCACTTTTACAAAAGTTTTACCATAAAAGTTAAAAAGAAGGTCAGCAAAAATTCGCCAACCTCAAGCACTTTAAGAATTTTGATTGATTACGGTTTAGTACAATAATGTATTGAAATCATTTAACAACTAAAATAATGAATGTGTTTTTAGATACTAAAGTTAAGCACTTAATGAATTACTTACTGCAGTTATTTCCCGTTGAAAATTCTAAGAAAATAAAAATTAAACTAAAATATATATATATATATATATATATATATATATATATATATATATATATATATATGTATATATGTATATATATATATATATATATATATATATATATATATATATATATATATATATATATATATATATATATATATATATATATATATATATATATATATATATATATATATATATATATATATATATATATATATATATATATATATATATATATATATATATATATATATATTCAAGTGTTTTCAAAAGATTATACTAACTTACAGCTTTATCCAAAACAATATGTCCAGTTTAATTTTTATTTTCTTAGAATTTTCAACGGGAAATAACTGCAGTAAGTAATTCATTAAGTGCTTAACTTTAGTATCTAAAAACACATTCATTATTTTAGTTGTTAAATGATTTCAATACATTATTGTACTAAACCGTAATCAATTAAAATTCTTAAAGTAAAGAATCCTAACTTTTAGATATAAAAAGATATTATTGTTAAATTTTAGGAAACATTAAATTGAACTTAGATTTGAGTTTGTTAAATTTGTTTTCAGATAAAAAGTCCTTATCTGTACATAACAGACGATGGAGAATAGGCGATCGTTATGTGTGGCAAAAAGATAAGTTTACGCAGTTTTTCATTTTCTGACGCCGTGATAGGTCTTATCGGAATACACTATGTCATGGATATGGAATATGACGCCCATGCCATGACAGCATATACAATCTTAAAACAAGAATAAAAATTCTTGAAACAAGAAATAATAGATATTTAAGAAAAAAAATTCTTAACACAAGAAAAAAAATTCTTATTTTAAGAATTAAAATTCTTAAAACAAGAAAAAAAATTCTTGAAACAAGAAATAAAATATATTTAAGAAAAAAAATTCTTAAAACAAGAAAAAAAATTCTTATTATAAGAAATAAAAATTCTTAAAACAAGAATTAAAATTCTTGAAACAAGAAATAAAATATATTTAAGAAAAAAAATTCTTAAAACAAGAAAAAAAAATTCTTATTTCAAGAATTAAAATTCTTAAAACAAGAATAAAAATTCTTGAGACAAGAAATAAAATATATTTAAGAAAAAATATTCTTAAACAAGAAAAAAAATTCTTATTTTAGGCCAAAAAATTCTTAAAACAAGAAAAAATATTCTTACGTGACGGACAGGTCATTTTTTTCTTGTTTTAAGACTTTTTTTGCTTGAAAC